GGAAACCTGGGTTCATTTTGGTAGATGTCTTTTGATTGTGTGAGTTTAAAGTTTATGTGGGTTTTAGAAACTATTGAGGACAATTACCTATGCCATGGCAAGATGGAGTTTCAAAGCTATAGAATTCTTTATAAGTGAAATTTATGATGAGCTGCTTACAAATACTTTGGAAGTCCTATGCAGATAACTTATACTCCCACGTGAGATGAATCAGGTCTCCAAAGGCGACAGGTATCGAAGAGACTATTTATTCACTGGTGCCTCAGATGACATGATGCACCTTGCATGTGTGAGCAGATTTATTTCTAGGGAGTGGTTACTTTACCATGGAGCAAAGGTGGCTTTTGTTTTTCCTTTCAAAAAATATCCTTTGGCTTTTAAAGCATGCATCCTAATATTTCCATTGGCAGAGAGCTAAAGTGGGACAGCATCAGAGGATAAAATAGGACATTATTTTGGCACTGTTTTGAATTATAGAGGCTGTGGTACTTGTTAAAAATGGAGGGAGGGGCAACCAAAAGCATGTGCTTGTGAAGTGCATAACTTTTATGTAGTCAGCTCTGTCCCATGGTCTGGGAACTCTGGGAACTAATGTGTCCAGAAGGGAGACAATTTTAGCCTTCACTGGGCTAGTTAATTTACTAAATTCAGTCCGTGACCAATTTCTTCTGAGAAGAATGAAGACTATCCGGTGCAGTGGGCCAAATCTTGCAGGCAATACCCAGTAGTGCATGAAATTGTGAATTCAGTTTGAAAAGTTGTATTTGATGTAATTCTTGAAGAGTTTGCAAAGTAAGAAGCTTTGGAAACGGTTCATATCAAATCTGGAAATGAAAAGTTTGGAAGTGTCATCTCAAAGTAGACGAAACAATGGACTGGATATTAAGAGGCTTGCGTTTTAGTCCCCCTTCTGTCACTCACGAGCTTAGTGACAGTAGACAAGCCTTCAGTTTCCTCCTCTGTAGAATCAGACACAGCATTTTCCAAACATTAGTTTTTTAGCGAGGGCACTTTTTTCTTTCAAACAAAAGCCTATACCTAAGTCTAATATGTAAAACAGCTGCACATGGCGGGCTCTGGGCTGTGGCCAGGAATACTTCAGGCCCCCACAGCCCCAGAACCATCCCCTCACCACCACGAAGTGGCCTGAGAAGTCAAGGGGAACTTTTTGGAGAGATGATAGCTTAAGTCTCCTGAGTTCTAATTTTTATGAACAAATGTAGAAATCTGTCTTGCTTGATAGGATGCCACCAGGAGAAATGAGGAATTAAAACATGGATGGAGTAGCACCACCCATTAGAAGATTTTATTTGAAGATAAATAGTCCGGGTTATTTTAATATAACCCTTGATGTTAGGAGAGGGTTCATGGGACAATTTGGAAATTAGCTTTAAGCTTGAAATAAATTTTGAAAGCTCTGCCTTTCTATCTCGTTTTTGAGGCACTCATTTTTGTGAGCACACGGCAGTTTCTAGTTTGCAACGAATGCACTTTCCCATGTGTTGTCTCACGTGCGAGCGTCTGAATGACCTCACTAACTTATGCTGTCCTGGTGATGGAAGTTTCGTGAGGAGCCCACATCTTTCAAAGCTTTCCTTCTCATAAAGAAAAGGGAATAGAGTTAACTACCTGAGGAGGCAGGCCATTCTGTTTGACTCCTGAGAGAAGAGGAGCATTAAGTTTGCCAGTGGCAAGCTTGAACCTCTAGACAAGTGGTCTTGACAAAACTCTCTCTTCTCCTGGTCAGGAACAGCTTAGTCCCACATATAGAAGGACTTGCACATTTACAGACTGTCCATTTTATGGCCCAGTCTCAGGCAGCCATGACTCTTTTATGTAAGACAGGTTAAATGGTCTAAACCTCATTCTCTTGTTTTCTCTTCTTAGAGTGGAGGGCTGTGGGGAGAAAAGGGAGATAGAGAGTGATTTGGGGAAGGAAGTGGTTCCTTGACAGAGAACAGATCAGCTTAATGAGTCACTGTGAAGTAAATCCTAATTTTTTAGATTTTTGAAGGAAACTGTGGAACTATTCAGCAGTTATATACTTAATCTTTGTATCATCCCCCCCAAATAAAGCATAGTGGTAATTTTATAAAGATAGGAATAAATTTAAAAATGGGGGAAGAGCTCACAATGAAATAAGAATGAAAAATGCAAATTTGAGGGAAATATTATATTGTTTAAAAAACCCATGACAGGTGAGGCTAGGGTGAGGTATTTATATTTATTGCTAGATACACAAACTTATTTTCCCAACACTCTGCTTCCTTAAAAGGAGGTAAAGTCAGCTACGTGACAACAGCTCCTATTCACGAATGACAGTTACTTCATACTTGGACTTCTAACTTTTTTTAATCCCTAACTTGCATTTTTTAGTGTTTCTTTTTGTTCTGCTCCTTTGACCTAGCCTGGAAAATTTGAAGAACATTTCTTTCTTTCTTTCTTTTTTTTCATTCTTATAAGCCTTTATAACTTTTTTCCTAATCTCAAAGTACAAAAATAATATTTTAAAAATGCATGTGTAAAGGACATTTTCATTTGCAATGAGATAACATAGTCACAATTAAAATCCATAGTTCAAGACAATTTAACTTTCATTTGTTCACAAGTTGTTTACATTAGAAATTACCTATCATTTGTCATATATAGAAGACTTATAAATTTATAGACTGTGCATTTTATGGCCTAGACTCAGGTATCTATGACTCATTGTTAACAAACACAGTTCTTGACAACGATACTCTAGTTCAGAACTAATAGAGCTCTCGTCCATTGCACCTCGTGTTTGGGGTCCAAATACATATCACTCTAGAGGTGTGGAGAGTTAAACGCAGCATCCAAAGGCTGTTTTGTTCTCGATCCATAGTCTGTGTTCTGTGACAATCTGATGCTCATGAGATCACATTGAATATCTTATTATTTAATATGCACTTTAAGAATTAATAAAAGTAAGTCTCACTAAATATCTGAGGACAGATAAGAGCAAATTTTACTAAATGCCTGATGGACAGCAATGAATATAGTGCAACAGAACTTCAGTACTCTCTCTGTTTTGGTGTTTTAATTCTGAAGCAATTCAGAAATAAGTTTTGGCAGGTAAATGAAATCATATACTGATTACTGGAACACAGCAGAGTGCAAATGAGAAAGAGAAGTGTAATCTTCAACCCTGTGTAACAATGTATTTGCGATGTTTTATACATTCCAAGATAATTTTTTGTATATATCCACAAGCTGATATTTTTTTAATGTATATTATTTCAAGCCAGCTCCTCTTTAAAAAGATCTATTTTTCCAAGATGAAGTGTTCCATAGCCCAGTGAGCTAACTCTTATTAAATGCACACTATGTGTTAAGCACTGTTCTTAGCTCATATGTGTTTTACTTCACTTAATGTTTACAACAACCTTATGAGGTTGGGATTCTTATTACTGTCATTTGACAGATAAGGAACCTGAGGACACTAAGTCACTCACTGAAAGTCGAACAGACAGTGAGGGATGAGGACAAGACTTGAACCCAGGAAGTCTGACTTCAGAATCAGCACATTAAGTCGCTACGCTGTATTTCATGGATTAAGACTACAGCTAGATGATCTCTTCAGGAGTGATAAAAAAAATACACAGTTTTATTGAAATATTTCCCTCCTCTTGAACTCTGTTTTCTCCACCTGAAATAATTAAGGCTTAAGAATGAAAGAAAAGAAATCACATCTGACTTTCCCTAACAAAGAATCATCATCTTTGAAGCAATTTTGATATTGATAAAAACCACTCTAAACCTTTCAAATTACTATAATATCTGATGGTTTTCTGGAAATGAAGTTCTCTAGAGGAGCCAGAGCTGCTTCAACACCAGGGTCACCACTGTAGCATGACACGTTTCCTGTTGTCTTTGGGGCACAATGATAGAACGTTACATATCATAACAATAACCTTGATGGATGTTGGAAAATGGTAGGGATCATACACAACAAGATGACTGAAGCATTTGGGACTTTCTTTAGGGTTCTCAAATAGGCCAGAGAGATCCAGAAGACCACTGCTAATCCAGAAGATCCACTAGTGAACTGGATCTTAAAGGACCTCACAATTTATGGTTCTATGGAAAGTTCCACTGAGTCTAGCATCCCCCTGAAGAATCTCATCTGCATAAATCTTAGGACTCTAGGTCTTACTGATTTTCTTATTTGAAGGCACTTTGGGAGTCTGGAACTGGAGCAGGTTTTCTGAGGTGCCCAAATCATGGACATTTGGTGTTAGATGGGACCTTGGGAATCAACTTGCTTAACTCTCCATTATTTTGACAATGAGAATACCAAAAAACAGGGATTACAACTTTGTATGATGTCATAGAGGGTGTCAGTGATGAGACTGTAATGGAAAGCAGGTTCTCTGGCTCTGTGTTCACAGTTTTTAATTAATTGACTTGGCCTTCATATCCATCATAGCCCTTGGCCTTTTAGATTCATGGACATGAGTCTGTGGCACTTCCTTCTCTGTCCTTTGTCAAGAGTATGTGGCTGAGGTTGCCCCTCTGACTCATAATTTTCTGGCTCTGTGACTGAATGATCAACACCCTATGAAATAGCACATAACTGAAACACTTTCACTGAATACTACATACAATACTACTAGATATTATCTTAATGTTCTTTCACCTTCTGTAACATTGGAGAATACTGTGTATTGTTAAATAAATATATAACCATAATCTTATTTTTACCTATAGCTTTAAGAAGCATGGATGGAGAAAAACATGATATAAAATAATTTTTAATTCTTTACCTTACTATGAATTTAAACATAAATTCTGAGGACATATTATATTTTGTTTATGGAAATGGCTGCATGAAATCAACGATGGGCTCCAATAATTCCTACTTATAAAGGAAAAACAAAGACAGATTGAGAATTTCTATGACCCCAAGAACTGACATGTGCGTTCACTCCAGTTATTACTCAGCTCAGGTGTGGCATCATAAAGACAACAGGACATACCAGGAGCAGCTGCAGCAACAGCACCAACAAAAGCAACATGTGTTGTTGGGCCTCTGGTTTCCAGGCGCTTGAGACACAGCAGGTGTTCCCTCATTTTGTGACTGCTGCCTTTTTCGCATCTCAGCTACTTCAGTACCCGAATGGCTGAAAGAAGAGAGAAAACATAAGGTACGAAAAAATTACAATAGAGATAAGTTGCCTATTCTGAGAGAAGCATAATTTAATGAAAGGGGGGAAAAGATAAAAAACGAATAATAAAATTAGCAATTCTCCAGAAAATCTTTTAGGAGACTATCCTAAAAGCTTTGGGGACAAACTTCTACCACTATCTGCTACATAAAATTATAAAGACAATGTTGCCGTGTAATCAAAACCAGTTGGTAAGGTAAATATGATAAGGTTTGAAAATTTATTTTTAACTTCCTTCTTTACTCAAGGATGATTTCATCTGCTTTCCTTTGTGAACACCTTTAAATGATCATACAGGTGTATATGACTCTGTTCTCCACTGTTGTTTACAGTAAGGTTAATTGAGCTTTACAAATCATCATTGCAAGGTTTCTAACTAAATATAATATTATGAGGAAGATCAAGTTTACTTTTGTGTTCTCACCTCCTTTTAAAACACCCAATCTCCTTATTGGCACTTCTGACTCACCCTCCAGGAGCCTATTCTTGATAATATTAGCAAAGTGTCTTATTCTCTGTTAGTTCTCAATGTTGCAAAGGCATGACCTCCCTTTCCTCCACACCCAAAATTTATTTTCATTTAGTAGACAATTGTGGAAAGATAAAAGAGTCATCAAATCCAGGGAAATTACTTCTGTGTAATTTGTATATCATGGCAGATGAGAAAAATACTGGGGTAGAGGATGTCCTACCTGTGACCTTAGAAATCAGGCCAAAGAGTTGTCACCTATTTTAAGACCAATCCAGACCTAGGACTTTGTTAAGGATAAAAAATAAAGTTTTGTTTCAGTAGAATAATATCTAATTTAGCATGACTTAGAAAAAGGAATGAATTCTACTGAATGATGATTTTTGTAAATATGCAACATATGTAAATCATATACATATTGTCATATGGATGACTGAGAGTAATACGAATTAAAAATATAAAGTGGTTTGTGTTATTTTGGTATTGTGAGCTCATGCTTTAAAAATTACATTTTAAGCATTGATTTTTCTTTAAATTGGAGAATAAAATATGTATTAAATTTTATTTTCCTGTGTTCATGTAATGAAAGTAGTTTAAAATTTTTCAAAGGCTGTTGCTTATATATTCTTGCAGCATTTCCAGTCTAAGAGGCTATTAGGTATATAATTCTCTTAACTGAATGTCAGATGGTCTTAAGGCCACAGGGTGCAGGTGGCCCTTGGTCTGTAAACACCACCAGTCCAGGGATCATTGTCTAAATATGTTAGTATTGTGTTTCATCTTGCTTTTAATTTTTAATTTCCAAATCGAAAGCGTTCCGTCTTTGGGGCAAATTCTTATAAAAATTTTTATTGTAAAGTTATATATTTTGTCTACAAAGGGATTATGCACTTTCCAGTTGGGATTTTACATCAGGATTTTTAATCATTCTAAGAAACACCTAATTAATAAATCAAAATATTTATAGAGCGCCTACAGTATGCATGAGTTACTTATGAGGTATATTTGGAATGACAACATATTATAAGAAAAAAGGTGAATAAAGTGACACTAGATATTAAAAATTTATATTTTCAGTTCTGAATACAATGATAGATACTTTTAAAAAATATTGTTGTCTTGCAAACAAGGTAAACATCTCTTTAGACCAGAAACAGAGCAGGGAACCACAATGGTCAGTAAACGGGGTTAAAACTACAGCCATTTTGTAATTCAGGGAAGGGAACAGAAAGGTGCAAAGGTCCCATAATCCTGTGAGGCATAAAATGCTCCACTATGAGTAGTAGGAGCCCAGATTCCAAACTACCTCCATAAAATCAGGGGCTGTGTTTCCATCATGCATAAAAGGATGCTGAAAAAACCACCTGTACGATACAATGGTACCTAGCTGCAGGAGAGAGAGAATGCAGAGAAAGCCATCCAGACCAACCTAGGTCAAGAAGCCCATGGTGACTGGATTCAGTGACTGGGTCAGGACATGTCAAAATTATTGCTAGATGGGAAGGAATCCGGAGATGTCGACGAAAGAGCTACTTTGGGACTGGGGGTCTTGAGGAACTAGTGGAGACTAGTGAAGAACATCCTTTATGGAGAGTAAGGGAGGGCCAGAAATACACCTCTCACTCAAGGCATTGCCTGAAAGCAAAAAATCCAAATTAACGCTAGAAAACAGACAGCCAACTCAACGATCAGGAAATGAACATACTTCGGATCAAATGCAAATACCAGAATCACCTACAATTAGTTTAATAAAGCATATGTTTCAGATAAAAAATGTGATAAAGGAAAGAAAAGCATTCATGTAAGAGAACAAGAAATTATAAAAACAATCTAGGCTAATATAAAACAAGAAAAGACAGAATGAAGAAATGTAAAAACAAAACACGTAGACATTAAAAAGATTCAGATGGAATAATCTCTTCCCCCAAGCAACCCCAAAGACAGCAAGTGATAGCACCAAGGAACAGACCAAGAATTCAGCAAACAGAGATAAAAAGACGAAATGTACAAAGATAATTGAGACAAGGACAGCAGTAACATTGAAAGACTCCAATATGTGTCCAAGAAGATTTTCATTATAAAGAGACAAGTAACCAATTGTCAGGGAAGTTGGCTGAGGACTTTCCAGAATTGGAAGAAAACAAGACAATACAAATCCTCACATTGAAAGAGCACACCACAACTGAGTAGGATTAATAAAATAGGAACAAAAGTAAATCCATGCTTATGCACAGTATAGCAAAACCACAGAAATCCAAGATAAAGAAAAAAGCTGAATTACCTAAGGAGGAGTAACACGTACTGACAGCAGACTTTTCATGGGTGATATCAGATGCCAGAAGACAACGGACAATGGAGTAATGTTTTCCAAGCGCTGAGAGAAAAAAGCTATCATCCTACAATTTTATATTCAGCTAAGCAAAAATTCAAGAGTGAAGATTATTTCTGACATAAAAACTCAAATTCATGTTGGAATCTACATCAGTCAGAAGAAAAAATTAAGGGGAAGGAGGGGAATATAAGAAGCAATTAAATTGATACTGAAATTAAATTAAATATAATAAAATTAAAATTACCAAAATAAAATTATTGAAATTGATAAAATATGATGCTGAACTTAATTAATGACTGGCTAAAATAAAACCCCATTTTTCTGTTTAGAAACAGTCTAGAAATAAATTTTTGTTGTTAGTGTTATGGAGTCGATTGCCACTCCTAGTGACCCTGTTGACAGCAGAGTGGAACCCTGCCTGGTCTTTTTGTGCCATTCTCTCACTTTCTGGCACTATATCAGACAATGTTCCACTGCTATTCATAGGGTTTTCCTGGACAATTATTTGGAAGTGGGTGGCCAGGTCGTTCTTCCTAGTCTGTCTTAATCTGGAAGCTCCACTGAAACCCATCCATCATGGGTGACCCTGCTGGTATTTGAAATCCTGGTGGCATAGCTTTCAGCATCATAGCAACATGCAGCTGCCACAGTATGACAACTGACAGATGGGTGGTGTGGTTCCCTGACTGGGAAACAACCTCAGGCTGTGGCAGTAAAAGCACCAAATCTTAACCACTAGACCACCAGGGCTGGGAGAAATAAATTGAAGACTGCATAAATTAGGAAAATGGGACAGTTGCCCTGCTCCTCCGCTAACACTCTTTCTTGTAAACATCACACTGTCCCCATTATGTTCAATCTAAGAGTCATTTTATCCTCATCTTTTGGGCCCATCAGCAGCATCTGATACATCTGGAGTGATCACTCCATGCTCTTTGAAATACTTTCTTCTCTTGACTTCCTGGCATCACACTCAGCATTTTCTTTCTATCTTACAGGTCACTTCTTCTCAGTCTGTTTTATTTCCTTTTTATCTCCCTCACCTCCAATTTTGGATGGCCATAATACTCTATCCTTATAACTCTGTCTTTTCTTTGGTGAACTCATTGAGACTTGTATTGAGCTAACCAGTTTTCTGTTCAAAATCCCCAAATTTACATGGCCAGTAAAGATGGTTTTCCTGAATTCAGGACTCATATGTTCCACTACGTACTTACATCTCCACTCAGCTTTCTCAACTTGGCATCTCAAACATAACATGATCTAACCTGACCCTCTTATCTTCCCCTCAAAACCTGTTCCTCCCACAGTTTCCCCACTTTCAGTAAATTAAAAGCCTCATCTTTATAATTATTCACACCAAAAACACTTTGGAGTCATCCTCAACTCCTCTATCTTGTTCAGCCCACATCAGCAAATGTGAGTCCTGTCAACTGGTCTCCACTCCCCTCTGTTGCTTCCACTCCTCATCTCTTCCTCCTTCTATTCTATTCTCAGCCCAACAGCCAAAAGTGAGTCTTTTAAAACATAAGTAGATGATTTCAGCAAAGAATCTTCCACCAAAATCCACTCAAAATCTTCCAGTGGCTTCTCATTTTACTAAAAGTAAAAGCCAAAGTTTTTGCAATCTGGTCCTTCCTCACTTCTCTGAATGCAGGTCTTTTCCTCTCCTCCTCACTCATGGTGGCCTCCTTGCTGCTCCTCAACCACACTTGGTACAATCATGTTGTCAGGGCCTTTGCACTTGCTGTTCCACACTCAGGGCTTGACTCCTTCAACTCTTTACTCGCATGTTACATTCTCAATGAAACCCTCCCTTGCTACCTTATTTAAAATCACAAGTCTCTCACTCCACTCCCTTTCCTATTTAATTTGTCTCTGTATTATGTACCATCATGGGTCATACTACAAGTGTTATGCATTTGTTTGTCTAACCAACTAGAAAATAAGTTTCATGAATGTAAAGATTTTTGTCTATTTCGTTCATTGTTGTAACAATGCCTGGCACATAGTAGGTACGCAAAAAATTTGCTGAATGGTGAATTTTACAAGCAATCTCATTAATGACAAGAAAAATACAACAAAGTCTATCACACGCAACATTCAAAATTATTAATCTCTGGGGCCGGCTCCGTGGCCGAGTGGTTAAGTTCACGCACTCCGCTGTGGCGGCCCAGGGTTCGGATCCTGGGCGCAGACATGGCACTGCTCGTCAGGCCATGTTGAGGTGGTGTCCCACATCCCACAACTAGAAGGACCTGCAACTAGGATATACAACTATGTGCGGGGGGCGGGGGGGCATGGGGGCAGGAGGCACTTTGGGAAACAAAGCAGAAAAAAAAAAAAAAAGATTGGCAACAGTTGTTAGCCTAGGTGCCAATCTTTAGAAAAAAAAATTATTAATTTCCTAGCCAATGTAATCAAATAAGAAAAAGTAAATAAGGGTTGGAAAGGAAAACACAAATTTTAATATTTACAGGTGATATGATTGTCTACAAAGAAAGTCCAAGAGATTCATTATAGACAGTTCAAGATGGATACCAAGTCAAGCTTCAAAAATCAATATATTTCTAATAGACTATTACTAATTGGAATATATCAAAGAAAGAAAGCATAATTCAAATGAATTGCAAAAACAAAAAAAGAAACTGGTAAAATTTCTAACAAAAGTTGTGTGAGAAATTTATGGAAATATTACAAAGCTTCATCAAAAAACATATAATAGGGCCAGCCCCAGTGGCCTAGTGGTTAAGTTTGGTGTGCTCTGCTTTGGCAGCCCAGGTTCAGCTCCTTAGTGAGGACCTACACCACTTGTCAGTGGCCATACTGTGGTAATGGCTCACATACAAAAAGAGGAAGATTGGCAACACGTTAGCCTAGGGCAAATTTTTCTCAGCAAAACAAACAAACATAAAATAACACCTGAATACAGAGATAGGTTATTTTCTCAAATGGGAAAACTGAATATCTTTAAAATGTTAATGGCCTCAAATTATTTTATAAATTCAATATGATTGTAATAAAAATTCTAATTGAATCATTCATGGAACTCAACAAATGGATTCTAAAATTTATATAGAAGAATAAAGGGCAATGAATAAACAAGATCTTTCTAAAAATAAGAACAAGTGGAGGGACTTGTCCTACCAGTATCATATCAATAATATACAACTGTCCTATTTAGGATAGTGTGACAGTGGCATGGGATACAGAAGTAAACCAACAGAATGGAATTTGTAGAGCTGAGACAGACTCAGGCATAGATGCAATCATGGTTTAAATTAGAGAGGCTTCTATTATCATTCAGGAAAAAAATTCAATAAGTGGTGTTGAGACAATTAGATTTTTATATGAAAATTGTAATATTTTCTCTAAGTTACAACACACAAAAAATAAACTGCAAATGAATTAGAGATTGGTGTTACAAACGAATTATAAAACTGTGGTAAGAAATTATAAAAGAATGTTTGTGTTGCTTCAGGGCAGGAAAAGGCTCTTTTACAAGAGCAAGCCAAAAAGGAAAAGATTATTTTTGATATAGTCCAATTTGTCAAAAGCCCTTGAACACATAAGGAGAACATAAGTAAAGTTAAAAATGAGAACCAGAGTAGAAGATAAAAAAGGATTATTATTATAATATCTAGGTAACACATCACAATTTAAAAATACAAATTACCTAATAGAAAAATGGGCAAAGGAAATGTGCAGGCAGTTTATAGAAGAGGAAAATATAAATACTCCAAATTAGAAGAATACATGCTCAAAACTAGAAATCAGGGAAATTCAAATAAAAACTATTTCACGTCTAAATGTCCCACAGTTAAAAGGTTGCACAATACCAAATTTGGGAAAGGATTGGGTAAATGAAAATCTGTCATATAATCATTTTGAAGAACAATATTGACTACATAACAATGTAGTTAACAATATACATAACCCATGACAAATTCCATTTTCATGTTTATACATTGGAGAAACTTTCACATACACATATGAAGACATAAATTACAGTATTTTTAATACATTAAACTGGAAACAATCCATATTTTCATCTTTTCAGGAATGAATAAAAATCTAAATATTGTTACATGATGACATATAAAATAGCACTTAAAAGGCTGTCCCTATGGCTTAGTGATTAGTCCAGCATGCTCTGCTCCAGCAGTCCAGGTTCGGTTCCCAGGCACAGACCTACACCACTCATCACACCACCTATTGGTGGCCAGGCTGTGGTGGTGACCCACATACAAAATAGAGGAAGATTGGCACAGATTTTAGCTCAGGGCAAATCTTCCTCAAGCCGAAAATAAAGAAGAAGATTGACAACCGATGTTAGCTCAAGGCAAATCTTCCTCAGCAAAAAAAAAACCCCAAAGGAACAAAAAACAAAAAAAAAACAACTTTTAAAATGAACAACTCAGATCTACATAAATCATCTTGGGGAGAT